TATATTTTTATATTGTTATTATTATGATTTTTCTATGCATATATGTATTTTGAATTTCAGATAAAGTATATTTTCTATAATTGTTATATGATATACTTTATGTTTGTAGACTATGTCAGATAAAGAAAAAAAACGATTCCATGAAATGGCAGAGAAAGATAAAAAGAGATATGATGCGGAGATGCAAAATTATACGCCACCGAAAGGCGAAAGTAAAGGCAGGGGCAAAAAACGCAAACACATTAAAGATCATAATGCTCCCAAAAGATCATTGTAAGTAGACTTCATGAAATTAAGTTGTTTTAACAATGCAATAAAATATAATTAAGACCTTCAGGTATTACTTTTTGTCTCTATACTTAATAAAATTAAAAAATAAATGATACTATTTTTTTTCCCACAGATCTGCCTTCTTCTGGTTCTGCAATGATGAGCGCGGAAAAGTGAAAATGCTGAATCCTGAGTTCGGTGTTGGTGATATAGCTAAGGAGCTTGGTAAAAAATGGTCAGATGCAGATTCTGAAACCAAATCGAAATATGAGGCTATGGCAGAAAAGGACAAGGCTCGATATGAAAGAGTATGTATTTGAAGTATAGTACATAGCAGGCATGACTTAAACAACAAATCATTAACTTTTATCATCTCTTCACAGTAAATTGATACATTTAACATTGGAATTTAAATTATAGTATGAGTATAATATCGAAAACCTTTGCAAATAATTAATATAACTCACACATATTATGTGTTATACTTTAGGAAATGACTGCGTACAAAAAGAAAATGAAAGATGGCGCACCAGTAGTAGGAGTTCCAGCGAATACTGTAAAAAGTGACAGTGAAGAAGAGTATAAAGAAGATGATGAATAGCGGATGCACGACAAAATTTCATCTATCACCCCGTGTCCTTGATCCTGAAAGCATACCTCACCTACTGTACGTACCATTGATCTTAGCGTGAGCGTACTTACACTACTAGGAAAACAAGTAACTAATCACCAGTCCCGGATTATTTACAATAATAATTAAATACCCGCGATTATAATAATTATTTTAAAATTGTATGTATGAGAGGAGCGAGAGAAGATCGTATGAGTGACATTTGTATTTTAACATATTAATAGTAACATGTAAAATGGCGTAGGATAGCAGAATGGAAAGATATGGTGCCCACTTTCTATCAGGTGGAAGGCGCAGGGGCTCAATCATTGTTGACATTGTCTCCAGACTATGTTAAAAACTATCGTAGTTACAAATAAACCAGGATACGGCGGCTCCATAGTTGGATGGTATCATTCGAATAGTTTGATATTTATCAGTTCAGTTCATTCGCTGCCAGTGTAAGAAGACTTATTGTATATCCTTGTACAGAATATTTCTTTAAATCAAATCTGTCGCAGGTGGGGCATGGGGCTGCTTTGTATGAATGTAATTCATTTAAGTATATGTCGTATAGTTGTAAGTATTAGGATAAGTATATATTTTAATGCAACTTCGATTCTACATCTGCGTCAACATGTGATAGTTTCCACTAACGATGTATTCTAAACCACGAGATTGAGCCTTATAGCTTATAAGTAATTGGAATCGAGACAAAATATCTAATTCACAACTTTACTAAATCAAAATTGGGGCGATAACCCAGCCATGGAGCAGTGGTATTGTCAAGTACTACATAACATATAGACAGCGAATAATTTCTGTTCGTAAGAAAGTGGAGCATAAAAATCCAATTTGTTGTATACAACTGATTAAAAATTTCACTTTTATGTTATCGTAGTAATAATAATAATTATCTTAATTTTTTATAATTATATAAAACATAATTTTGTTCATATCGGAATTAATGACAGTTGTTGAAGACTACAATAGAATTATACTTTGAGTTTCAGCTAGTTAAAGTGGTCCCTGCCCTTACCATCGTAATCCTCTCTCTCATATTCATTTTCCAATAAAAGAAATACGTTAAAATCCTTTCAGAATTATATAATTCCGTTCATTGTTTAAGAAAGTAAGATAAGGCGTGTCTTGTATTGCCTCGAGTCATCTGGTGTACAGCAGGCTGTATTATAATAAATTATTGTGGTTTCTTGTAATGTTAACATTCCTAGATCCTAGTATGTACAGATCTTAATCATTGAGATTAGAGCCAACCGTGTAAGAAGCATACCAAAAAAAAAAAAAGAAAAAATAAAAAAAAATAAAAAAACAGGCTAAGTAATGCAAATACGAATTTCGTGGCCAAGATTGGTGTGCAAAATGAATATACAAGAGGCTTCTTTACAGTCGGACTGACTTACACCTTGATTTGGCTCAGCAAGTAACCCCTACTTTTTGACATAACAGCTTTTCATCTCCCCTGCACATTGTCATGTAACGGATAACTGTATGATTGTATAAGCAAAAACCTGTTCTAGAGGGAGCTAGAAGACGAATACTGTAAAATATGAAATTGTAATATTTTAATACTGATTTGCAGATGTGCATAATTTTAACATAGCTGGTTAAAATGAATTGTACTGATACAAAGGTATCCATTTGATGGAGATAATTAATAAAAACGGATATTGAAAATTATGACAGAATTTTCTGTGTTATTATAGGGGAATTATAACAGTTACGAAAGAAATGTTTGTTTTGTATATCTCTTAGGATAAATAAACTTTTAAAAAAATATGTGAATATGTTTCTGGTACTGCTCCGAACCTGTTTTTAAGTATGTATATGTCTGAAATATTTGATTCTTAAAGCAGTACTAGACTTAGGATACTAACATTTACGATATTTATATAAAAGTAAGTATATATGGTGTCCGTTTGTTTATGACATGAAGTATTATTTTTCATGCTGCTTTCTTATAATATGGAATATAACTTCTGCATTTTACACATTTATGCCGGTACTAATTACATAGGAATTAGCAATTAACCTGAAACCAGAGGTAATGTGTTAACTTATTTCGTGTTATACTCACTGTAGATTGTAAATGTACCATTGACATTGTATTTCTAATAATAGATCAATAATTGTTAATCTTAATATAAATTTTTTTATTTGTATATCTGCTAAAACAGTTTATTATTTCATACCTACAATTCATGATTTAAAGTACATAACACATTAATAAATGTAATACATAATATTCATTTGTTTTATAATCTTATTGTAATAAACTAGCAAATTAAATATATACAAGATATGTTGCTGTATTTAGTTCTAATTAAGCAATCTATTCAAAATGTTTAGCATGTCAAAATTTAGTGTTATACATTTAATTATGTCATATCAAGTTCTAAATTGGTAATTTTGTTCAAATTTGCCAACTTTTATACTATTTCCAAGACTATAATTTGGTTTTGTTTCTATTACAGGTACATAATGCTAGCATATTATTCTCTAACTATTTATGTATATTTAAGATCATACTATATAATCTAATATAATTATTGGAATTTACATACTCAATTGCAACATTAACATTTGTTTATTGATGACAATAACCCTAATAGCAATAATAGTATAACAATGTTGCATTTATGTTATGAATGACATACACAAGCAAACGAAAATTTGTGACAAATGTTTACACATAAAATTATAATATTGGAGCTATAAATTTTTATTTTCCTTTGTTTTTAATAAGCTGTATTTCGATGCTAAAATGAAGTAGTAAATGACACAATGATATTAAATCTTGTATATGAAAAAATCTATTATTCGCACCTTATATTTCCACATAGTCAGTAAAATTTAAAAAAAAGTTTTTAAATATAAGATTTTTTAAGTTAAGTAGTAAAATTTTAATTAATTGCACAAGCAATAAGTAAATTTATAAATTATTGATGTCAAACAATATTGGGGATATATTAATGTTTGGAGGAATATTATATTATGTTCCTTAAATATGATTTTGTAAATTTAAAAAAATGTTTAGATACTAATATTTATGATACATTTATATTTTAATTACATTGTTTTTTAGAATTTAGAATTACAAAAATATTAAGAAATTTTAATAGCACTAATAATTTTATTACTGTCAAGTAAATTATATTTAAGTATACCTATAAGTATGTATATATAATGCTTAACTGAATAAAAAATCAATATACTTGAAAGAAGTTTTTTAATTGTACAATATAGTATGTTTTAGAACAAAAGAAATTCGCTCTTAGTACCATCTATCGGCAGTAGTGGTGAACTGCAACATTGACCGGGTTCAGAAATTCGTAGTTTCGAAACATATAGTCTTTTTGTTTGCATTCAGATTGACGGTTGGAACGAAAACTTATATTTGAAAATTAAATGTAAAAGATTTAATGGCCGCTGGAAGGTCATCGTAGACCTAACGGTTTGGTTTCGTGCAAGATTCTAATGAATTAAACAGACGAGTTTTACAAGAACGTTGATTGTCTTGTCAAAAAATATTCTCATATATCATCGTATTGTAAGGTAGGTTCAGATTTTTAATGACGGATCCTTGTGACTGTATGTCCTAATATTTGAAGTCTCTCTTGTCATAAAACAGGAGTCCTCGTATTTTTGCTTTGTTTTATTAAGAATCTTCTACAGTGATAAGTTAATATTTGTTTGATTATATACGAAACATCTAAACCATTGGTATTAAAATATATTAATGTGCAATACATTTACTTGCAATAAATAATATCTTTGAATCATGATTTTGATTTTTGCTCATAAAAATAATATGTTATTCGTAATTTTATTTAGTCTGTGCACATAATTTTTTTATTTTTTATTTTTAAGATTTGAAGTTTTATATCTATTTTTCATTTTTATTCCATTTATACACAAATATTTTTCTTTTATTTTTAAGTAACAGTAAAATATGTTAAAAAATATGCATAAATATTAATAGAAATTGCAGATATTGGTGAACATTCGAATGCACATTGTTTTGCAAGTTTTATCTATTCAGCAGTGTTCCACATATTGATTATATTCATGTCTATTATATATTTTGTTCTGATGTTTCTTTCTAATAAGAATTTAGTTTAATATCTTTATATTTTGTTAAAACTGTACTATATTAAATTGAATTTGTACATAACTTATTATATAAAAGATCATGTGACATATATTGCGCATAAGGTTTTGAGATTATAATATTTTCTATAACATGTATATTTGTTGCATATAGGTGTAACACAAGGAAAATTGAAATGTTTTAACATTTTTTTTATAGATTTTAAAATATGGAACAAGACACAGAATATATTAAATTACCATTAGAAGAAAGATGTGTGCATAAGGTAGTATGTTTCTTATTATAGATTTTGGTGCATAGTTTGTCAGCAATTACATTTTGTATTATTTTTTTAATTATTCACATTATATAGTTATGGAGGGCACGATTGCATGGCTATAAAGAATGCGTAAACACATTCCAATGTATTGTTGATGAAAAGTCTCCAGATTGGAACAAGTTTTTGGGATTTATTAAGAAGTTTGTAGTTGATAGCAATGCAGTTGCTCAAGAAAAAGGATTGGAAGCTGCATTAGCTTTTGTTGAAAATGCTGCAGTAGCAGGAAAGTAAGTTGTGAAAATTAATGTATTGTTTTTTTAATATTATTTTTATCTTAATATAATTTTTTGATATATAGACAGGGTGTTTCAAAACATGTGGGCATAATTTTAGGGATGGATTCAGTATGCTGAAATAAGAAAAAAAATTCATATAAACATATACCCGATATGACTTTGTTTCCAAATTATACCTGTTTATGTCTTCCCATAATTCTTATGACTCTATTGACTGCTTCTTTTAATTGTTTACAAGTAACGCTTCTTATCTTATGCGTGACCTTTGGTCTGCTATGTAAATACTATTTTGTAATTTGTTTCAATCAATTTAATACATGTTGAGGAACTGCGATATCATAATCAAGAGAGTTGTCTGCGAATTTAAACAACACCTGGTATTTTTGAACGAGTGAGAAGATCTATGATACGACATTTGGAAACCTGCATTCTAGCCAAGGATGGCCACTTCGAACAATTTCAATGAAAATTATTAAATAACAGGTATCATACAAAAAGGGGTATAATTCAGAAACAAGGTCATATCAAGTATATGTTTATATGAACTTTTTTTCTTATTTTAGCATACTGAATTCATCCCTGAAGTTATGCCCACATGTTTTGATACACCTTGTATATTTACGACAAATTGCCAAATTTTTAGATTTTTTTATAAAATTATATACTTAATATTTTTTAGAACTGTTGGTGAAGTTATGAATGGAATAGTTACTAAATGTATTGCTGCCCCAAAAGCTAAAACAAAAGAATTAGCAGTACAAATAACATTAATGTATATAGAAATTGAAAAACATGAAGCTGTTCAGGAAGAACTATTAAAAGGCACAGAAGCAAAAAATCCAAAAATTGTTGCTGCATGTATTTCTATCTTAACATTGGCTTTAAGGTAATTACATATTGTTTATGCTAGTGTCTATAAAAATTGTTCATTATATTCAATTATTCATAATTATTCAAAATATTCATTGAACTCTTTTTTTTTTTTATTAATCTTACAGACAGTTTGGACCAAAAGTAATTAATATAAAGCCTCTAATAAAAAAGATCCCTGGTTTTCTTGAAGATAGAGACAAAACTGTCAGAGAGGAGGGCAAACTCATGGTTGTTGAAATTTATAGGTATTCTTTTAATTCAAGTATTATAACATTGTGCAACATATGTCAATGAATATCTATTTCAAATCTTTTTCTGTAATATTTAGATGGATAGGCGCTCCTTTGAAGCAACAATTGAATACATTAAAACCAGTACAAATTACAGAACTTGAAGCAGAATTTAATAACTTGAAAGAAGAAAAAGTAACACCTACTCGATTTTTGAAATCTCAAAAAACAAAATCGATATGTATTACAGATTCTATAAGTGATACTGGTGAAGGTAAGTAGTCATAAAGTTATATACCATTATTTTGACATTTTAATTTTTAATTGAAAATTCGTTTTATATTTAAGAGAGTAAGGATGATGGTGATGGTAATTCTGCACCAGAAATTGATGCTTATGAATTGTTAGAACCTGTTGATATACTTTCTAAACTTCCAAAAGATTTTTATGAAAAAATTGAAGCTAAAAAATGGCAGGAGCGAAAAGAGGCTTTAGAAGTCTTAGAGACTCTCGTAAAAAATCCTAAATTAGAAAATGGTGATTATGGAGACGTAGTAAGGTCTTTAAAAAAGGTATATAGTACCTGTGGTATATGTATATTTTACAATTATTATTATTATTTTACTTATTTCTCAAACATTGCATATAGGTTATATCCAAAGATATAAATGTACTAGTTGTTGCATTGGCGGGAAAATGTCTAGCAGGACTAGCTACAGGTCTTAAGAAACGATTTCAACCTTATGCAACAGCATGTCTTTCATCAATTCTGGAAAAGTTTCGCGAAAAGAAACAAAATGTTGTGCAAGCGATTAGAGAAGCTGCTGATGCAATTTTTCTTAAATAAACAATTTTAATATTTTTATGTATAAATAAACTGCAATTTAATGTTTAGATTATATATAACAGACAGAATTGTTATACAAGTAGCTACTTTGTATAAATATGCATATAATATGTTTTATGCTTATCTTAGGTTTCTATTGATCTTATACTAGAAGATACACTTGCTGCATTAGAGAATAAAAATCCAGCAGTAAAGGCAGAAACGGCTGCTTATTTAGCAAGATGTTTTTCTCGCACACCACCACTAAGTTTGAATAAAAAATTATTAAAGGCTTATACTGGTGTACTTTTAAAAACTTTAAACGAACCAGGTACGGTTCAAAATATATTCTTTTCATTAATATTTATTTCAATTAAATAACCACTACATTCACTTATTTTAGATCCAACTGTTCGAGATAGTTCTGCAGAGGCCATTGGCACAGCCATGAAATTAATAGGTGAAAAATCGATGATGCCTTTTCTTACAGATATAGATAATTTGAAAATGACTAAGGTATTTTATGATTAATAGTGTTTAATCATATATATAGGGTGTTTCAAAATATGTGGGCATAACTTCAGGGATGGATTGAGTACGCTAAAATAAGAAAAAAAGTTCATATAAACATATACCCGTTACGATCTTGTTTCCAAATTATAGCGTTTATGTCTTCTAGTAATTCTTATGACTCTATTCTGGTCTGCTATGTAAACACTATTTTGAAATTTGTTTCAATCAGTTTAATACATATTCTTGGTGGTAACAGCACTTATGGAAATTTGCTAATACATTTCGTAATAATTTAAGTGATAATTTATATTGATAATGGCAGATTACACAAATGCATTCTAGCCGAGGGTGCCACTTCGAACAATTTCTATGAAAATTATTAAATAACAGGTATCATATAAAAAAGGCTATAATTCAGAAACAAGGTCATATCGGGTATATGTTTATATGAACTTTTTTTATTTTAGCGTACTGAATTCATGCCTGAAGTTATGTCCACATGTTCTGAAACACTCTGTATAAAGATAATTAGACTTTTTATACAAACTGTATTAATTAATTTTTACTTTATTTTGTTAGATAAAAGAATGTGCAGAAAAAGCTGTAATACATGTTAAAGTTCCTAGTGTACCAAAAGTAGTTGCAGAAAGACCAAACACAGCTCCAAGTAAAATCGAATCAACAGCAAAGACTAAAGAGCCAGAGTCAAAAGCTACAAAGCGACCTAAAACCAGTACAGCTAAAAAACCTCCATCTAAAAAACCATCTGCTTCATCTTTAACCAATTTAGGTAAAGATTAAAGTTTAATAGGTAGTTCAAGATATTCGTGTTGTTTTAAACGCTATCTCTTCATTACCTTTTTATATGAGTAATACAAACTCATTTTACATAGTGAATATGTACTGTCCTCAAATCATATCTCGAGTACAGTTTCTTGTAAGTCCAATGTAGATTTTTCATTTTTTGCCAAAAATACAGGTGAGAAATTATAAGATAGTACCAAGTTCACTTTTTTCACGTTATGTTGTATGAGTTTGAAAAAGATCTAGTTTTAATCGGTATTGCAATAATTATTTGTAAATTGGAAAGGTACTACTTCTGATCATACTTGGAGAAAATAGTAGAAAATATTTTGATAGGGGGATTTTTGCTTGGAAGGCCAAGAATATTCAGTACATCTACGTCAGATAATAATGTTATTCATTGTTTAGTTGATTTTAATTGTAACATTTAAATACGTCAAAATACTAGCAAATTATAATTTCAAAATCAAACAGAAAAAATTTGGAATGTTATCAAGCCGAATACTTGGTACTGTCTGTACTCATTGAGTACAATCGCTTGAGTCGTATGATAGCGTGGTTTGTACTTACGAGTAGTAGTAAAACCGAAGTATTTTGTTAACGTATTTTGGTTGGAAATGGAAAGTAGGTATTGTTTGAGAATCAAAAAAGGAAAGAGCTGGTGTGAAAGAAATAAAATACCTGAAATTTGTGAAACTAGAGGTATACCCGCATAAAGTTTTGTTACAATTATGGAGGAATTACTGTCAAATCCGCCAATTCAACAATATATCGAATTTAAAAAAAAATATGCGCAATTAAAAAAAATTTAAGAGTGCTTTAGTATAAAAACATCAAAGCTTTAAAATTAAAAACAAAGCCTCCTCCAATATATCAATATTATCAGTTAATTAGCAGGTTATAAGAAATGTGCAAAAAAATACACGATTGGTTATAAAATTTTACTGTATTTAGTGGAAGTTTTACAGCTATTGACCAGACATTACTTGTGATTACTATTTATGTAGACCACTGTAATATTCTATACCAGAGGAAACCTCCAAAAGCAGAGAAATTATCAAAAAACCATGTTGAAGAATTTTTTAAACGAAAGGGTAAAAAATTTTATAACTGTTATAGTGAAGTTACCTGAAAAATGAAAAAAAATCGTAAAGGGTTGCAGAGACTACATTTGCTCATAAAGTAACATACAAATTAAAAACAAGAGACTGCAATTCTATATTTCAAAACAACACAAACTTCTTGAACCACTTAATAGTAATAATCTCTTAATATTGTAATAAGTATCGTTAATTTTTTGTCATTTATTATAGTTATTTCCAAAAAGTCATCTTCTACCAAACTTCAAACAGAAAAAAATTATAGTGTTGAAGAAATAGAAGAAATGGCTATGCAATTATTGCCAAGTGATATTCTTTCTGGTCTTGCTGATAGTAATTGGAAAGCACGTTTAGCTGCAGTTGAACAACTTTTGGAGGTAATTAAAGAATTTGATAAATAAAATTGTAATATAATTGTCATTACCATAAACAG